TTTATGTGCAGTCAGTGTCTTTGGTTGTGAATATATTTATAAGTGAAGATCACATGGTTCATGAGCTACAGCATAAAATGACCTTGAAATTTGGTAGAGCCTGGAGTAGCTTATCATTAGAGACTAGCTACACATTTTTTATTTGATTTCTGATAAGCTGGGGGATGATATATATGAGTTCTTAAAAGCTGTAGGTAGATTTTTAGGGCAGTAAAATTATTCTGTATGATATTGTATGGTAGATACATTATATGTTTGTCAAAAGAGAATTATACCAGCCAAATAGTGAACACTAATGTAAACTATGAACTTTACCTAATAATGTATCAATATTGGATCATCAAATGTACCACCCTAAGACAAGATGTTAATAATTGGGAAAAATTGGGGTAATGTGCTCAATTTTTCTGTAAACATAGAGCTGCTCTAAAAACAAGTCTATTAATTAAAAAAAAAAGCTGGAGATAATGATGAGAGAAATATTCTTGTTCTTTGTACCTGTTCTTGGTCTCAAGATCAAACATCATAATCAAAGAGGAAAAGCCAGTATTGATGAATTCAACCCTTCCTTTCAACTTGCCCACTTCTCATGCCCACTTTATTTCAGGCTTTCAGTGTAAAATTCAGGGATGGCTATGGGATCCTCAGTAATCCCATGAGGATTGTCATTATAACTATCCATTCACAGACTTGGAGAGGATCTGTGGCAGACTTCCCTTTGTGAAATAACCTGCTTATCATCCAAGCTTCAGCAGTAGAGGGGAAATCTTCATGTAAGGTGGTTGTCTGAACATCATGATCCCAGTTCTGGACTTCTTGGAATCATTGCTGGATTCAGAAGGCACCTCTCTCTCCTCAAATTTGACCTGACATGGTCACAGACTATAGCATGGCTGAATCCTGTAATGTTGAACAAGACTTTATCAAAAGCTTCAAGATATTAACCTTTTTCTGTTCTGTGTATCTGACTATAGTCTGCCCTCATGGCCCATATCTATGTGCCACAAGACTTCTTTCCACCTCACTGGAATGGTCTCACAGCTTCAGGGTGCCTGGGTGACTCAGTTGGTTAAGCGTCCAACTCTTGATTGTGGCATGATCTCATGGCATGGAGCCTGCTTAAGATTATTTTACTCCCTCTCCCTTTGCCCCTGTCCTGTGTGCATACTAGCGTGCACGTTCTCTCTCCCTCCCTCCTTCCCTCCTTCCCTCTCTCCCTCTCTCCCTCCTTCCCTCTCTCCCTCTCTCCCTCACTCCCTCTCTCCTTCTCTCTCTCTCTCTCTCTCAACAAAACAGAACTCAAAAAACTTGGTCTCACTATTCATATCTCTCTAAGGTTTGCTGTTTAGTACCTCATGCTCTGTTCTAGATCTGTCTTTTTTTCCCAGGTGAAAATGCCTTCAAATGGCCTCTCACAGATTGTGAGGCCTTACTCTTTGTCTCCAAAGGGACAGATACATAAGGACTAATATCCACCCAGAAGCTGGGCAAATCGATTTCTTTCCACACAGGATGAATAAAAACCTAGATTAGCATCAGTGCTTCCTGAATTGGAGCTATTCTAATTGAAGGGAGCTCACTTTCCTAATCTTCAAGTTAAATAGTCATTTAATGAGGCATACTTTTCATCTTTGAATCATAGTTTTATAGAGCTAAAGGAAATCTTAGAGATTGATCATTTTTAATCTACTTATTTTATGATACAGAAATAGTCATACAGTTTTAGACAGTACATGACTTTGCTGGGGCCATAGCTTTGATAGTATTAGCAGAGCAGAGAACCAGATCTAGTTTAATGTGTCCTAATCCAAGGGTCATTTTATCACAAAATTCTGCTTTTGAGAAAAAGTTACTGGAACCAGAAGTTGAGCCTGAGATTTGCTAATTAATCATCACAAGGTCTTTCTTTCAAACCATTTTTACTATAGTTTTTTTTTTAGTTTTTTCTTTTTTTTTTCCACATTAAAACACAATGGGGCACCTGGGTGGCTCAGTCAGTTGAACATCCGACTTCAGCTCAGGTCATGATCTCACAGCTCATTGGTCCGAGCCCTGTGTCCGGCTCCGTGCTGACAGCTCAGAGCCGGGAACCTCCTTATGATTATGTGTGTGTGTCTCTCTCTGCCCTTCTCCCACTCAAGATCTCTCTCTCTCTCTCAAAAATAAATAAAACATTAAAAAAAAAAAAGAAAACACATTACTGATTTTCTGTTGAGGGCTTTGGGACTTAGTGGAAAAATATGCCAGTTTTGTCAGAATTAAAACAACCTTAGATTAAAATAAGTGTATCATGAACTCCTTGAGAAGATAACATCTTTTTTTGAAATTCATTTTTTTATTTTTTAAATGTTTATTTTTGAGAGAGAGCGCGCACATGCAAGGGGGGTGGGGGGTGGGGCAGAGAGGGAAACATAATCCGAAACAGGCTCCAGGCTCTGAACTGTCAACACAGAGTCCAATGTGAGGCTTGAACCCATGAATCATGAAATTGTGACCTGAGCTGAAGTCAGACACTTAACCAATTTTGCCACCCAGGCGCCCCAAAGATAACCTCTTTTAAATGTTAACGTTCATAATTTAAATTCCTTCAGCTTTCTTTTTTTTTTCCTTTTTTTGAGACAGAGAATGAGAGTGAGGGGGGCAGGGAGGTGTATAGAGGGAGGGAGAGAGAGAGAATCCCAAGCAGGCTCCATGCTGTCAACACAGAGCCCAGCCAGGGTGGAGGTGGGCTCGAACTCCTGAACAATGAGGTCATGACCTGAGCTGAAATCAAGAGTTAGATGGAGTCACCCAGATGCCCCTAATGCATTCAGCTTTTTAAACATGTGAGATGAGGTTTTTTTTCCCTAATACACTCTGAGGTATCTTTGAAAATAAGTATGTCCAAAGATAAAAAACTTTGGATATGAAGAAGTCCCATGATAGTGTTTTTAAAGGTAATTTGGATTGCTTATTGATTATTATGACTCTTCACTGTAGATGAAGTTTCATTTACAGTTCATTTGAAATTCTGCAGAGGCCGGTTATCCAGTGTTACCTGTGTCAGCTGCTTCTCTTTATTCTGGCAATCTCATTGTTCTTAAAGATGAAAGGGATTGAAGGAAATGTTGCTGACTTTTTAAATAAATGTAGTAAGATTTAATAGCAGAGGAGGTCATATTTCACAATGTAATCTCACAGTCAAACCAAATAATGTAAAATTATTTTGTTATTCCAGGCCCTCATTACAGACAATCTGGAGTTAGTACTTTGCATCTTTTTCAATAAATTTTATTTGAATACAAAAATAATATCTATCTGTTGTAGACAATTTGGAAAGTACAGAGAAGAAAGTAAAAATTATCACTTGTAATTCTAGTAATTAGTGATAACCACTATTAATATTTTGGTGGGATTTTTTTTATATATAATTTTTGTTATTTTAATAGTGGGATAATGCATTTGTAACCATCTTTTTAATATGCAAATATTATTTTCTGCTTTTAAATATTCTTCCATAGCATCACTTTTCATAGCTATGTATTGTTCTACCATGTGGATATATCATGATTTCTTTAAATAGTTCCTTTTTAAAAGACATTCAGCTAGTTTTTGGTTTTTCCCTAATAAAGTTGTCACTGTCATAGGTCTCATGATAGAAAAATCTATGATTATTTCTCATAAGACTTTTAAGAAACTGTTTAGATATTTATAAGTGAAATCTAAGGCAAAGAACAATGAAATAATAACATAGTATTACATAATAAACTAGTGATCTAATGTTAATTCTCAGTACAGTGTTTAGTTCACATTTATGCTGAGTTTAAAATGTCAATGTATTTAGGTTGATTTACAGTTTGAGTGACAAATGATTTAGTTTTAACACAAGCCACTTTGAAAACTGTATTCTTGAGACTGCATATTAAAGTTTCACTTCACATGTCTGAGTTTTAGTCCAATTATTTTTCATGACCTTAAAAATTTAAAAATCTTTTTTACTGTTAATTTTGTTAGGATTATTTGCTTTCTTTTTAAAAGTTTAAATGATTGACTAGTATACAGAAAGAATAGTGATTATGTAAGTTGAATACTTTATTGGTGATATGTATTTGTCTCAGACTAATCTCACAAGATTTTCTTAATAAATTTATAGTTCTCTGGCATGTATCTATAATATGAACCATTTAGAATTGGCTGCTTAACATATTATATAGTACTTTATACTATAAAACTCTATACTTAAGAACACGTTCTTTTTGAGCTTTATCTCATATACCAATGCCATGTTAAGTTTTGAATTTTCAGTGTATACTTGCATCAGAATTGGAGCATTCCAGGGCTCTGCCCTGATAGTACTGAGCCTGCTTGGCTTGGGATTCTGTCCCCCTCCCTCTCTCTCTGCCCCTCCCCTGCTTGTTCTCTACCCCCTACACCTGCCCTTTCTCTCTTTCAAAATAAAGAACATTTATAAAAAGAAAAGAATTGGATCATTCCATAAGATTTTTTTCTTATGAATATTGGAAATACTGGTCTTTCTGATCATCAGCTATTTTAACTATAGCAAATGAAACTAATTTTTGTCAGAACTGTCAAATCAGTTCATGTAACCATCTTTCTTCCCTTTAACCCTGCTACCCCTCTACCCTCAGTCAACTAAAAATGACTTCCTTGTGATACTTTGTGTATAAGGATATGCCTCAGATGTCCTTTTATTATATTTAGAGGTACAAATGAGTGTTTCCTCCATAAACTACAGGTTCCTTAAGGAATGGAAGTTTTATTAATGTTTGTAACTACCCACTTGTATTGTGCTATGAGTTGGGCCAAATATTTGAGAGTCAAATATTTTGGTGTTTATTCAGTGTAACTCAATGAATATACTTGATTGCTAGCAGAACTCTGTATTTCCTAAGCACAGTTATTAATCATCTCAGATTTTCAGGAGCAACTTTATTTTTATTTAAAATTGAGTGTATGTCTTAGTGTCTCCCTTTTCAACTAAATAAACATTTCTCTTTTAGGATTTGTTCATACAGATATGACGAAAGACTTGAAAGAAGAACATTTAAAGAAACACATCCCTCTTGGGAGGTTTGGAGAACCTATTGATGTGGCACACGCCGTTGTGTTTCTCTTAGAGTCACCATACATTACAGGGCATGTTCTGGTAGTGGATGGGGGATTACAACTCACGATATAGTTTACAGAACATTCAGTTAAAATAGTGATTATAGTAAGGACACACTTGGGCTGTTGATTTATTTGTATTTGGGCTGTTGATACCTATGTGGGTGACATTTGCTAATCCTACCAATTGATTGTACAAATACTGATTTCCATTTTTATATGAATATGCCTGTAAAGAACAGTGTGTGACCAGTTGTGTTTTCTAAATGGTAAGAACCTTATAGGCTGTAGCAATTTTAGTATATAGATATTTGCAAGTAATATAAACAGACATTATTTTAATTTATATATTTTGTCTCAAAAGTGGCAAAATTATATGGTCTAATGGTCATGAATTATTTCATTGTATCAGGCAAAATTCTCTAGAAGTTAACCTTGTGAGCCATTGCTAAAATAAGAGCATTTATAGGGCATTGGTTACTTGTCAGTATTTTAACAATCCTGCCAAAGTTAAACATTGTATTCCTTTTACATATGCCTTAGAAGATCAATTTTTATACAGGTTGAAAAAAACATTATCAGTTAGATACAGGCATGAATTTAGAATCTGGTTTCTTTGAGTGTATTACTCCTGATTAAGCAGCTAGGCAAAATAATTTACAAATACAAATGTGGTACAGTTGATCTGTTCTATAGAATTTCTCAAAGATGATGTGTAATAACCCTTAAGGTTTTAATACCTTGTATAGTAATGAGCTGCATAGATGTTATCAACTTATGAAATAGAAGTAGTTTTTTGTGTTTTGTATCCTCAAAACACTAATATTAGCAAACTACTTAAAAACAGCATAAGTATCATGACATTTTCAAAGGGAAGAATATTTTATATGAATTAATGTAATATTTTTATTGTAAAATTTTAGAAATATGAATAGCATAAATGATATTTTAAATAAATATGTGGCAGTAATGAATAAGATGTCTTTATAAGGAACAGTTAAAGCCTTAATTTTAAAAGAAAATATATGCCTGAGAATAGAGGACATAAACTGAAAGTAAAATATCAGGCAATATCTATTTTGCATTCAACTTTTTTGTGGGGAATAGTGTGATATTTTAAATGTCACTGGATTCATGTTGATTTTTATTATTTATCTAATTTTGAAATATGTTTTAAATATTTACTGCATTTTAAAAAGTAAGTTTTATTGGAGCTAAAGATTATTTTATGTAAACACATTTTATTTTATATTGCAAGTCAGTGCAAAGCTGTGAATTGGATGTGCTAAATAAATTCAATGTGATAAAAGTAATGAAAATAAAAAATAAAAACTAATAAAGTCAAATCTAATTTCTACGTCAAGCTTCCTGAGTTCTTAAAAATCGTTTTAGGGGCGCCTGGGTGGCTTAGTCGGTTAAGCGTCCGACTTTCGCTTAGGTCATGATCTCACGGTTCGTGGGTTCGAGCCCCGCGTCGGGCTCTGTGCTGACTGCCAGCTCAGAGCCTGGGGCCTGTTTCAGTCTGTGACTCCCTCTCTCTCTGACCCTCCCCTGTTCACGCTGTCTCTCTCTCTCTCTCTCCTAGAAATAAATAAAAAACATTAAAAAAAATCGTTTTAAACTTATCTTCAGAGTAATCTTTACTTAGGTCTCTTTGGGAAGTAAGAAAGTTATTAAGTGTGAGTAAAATGAGTATCACTAATCAAATTGTTTACCAAATGCAAGCATGGTAATATTCGGGTTTTATCAGGCATTAACAGTTGAAGGTACATAAAATAAATGGAGCAGTTGGAATGGTTTCCAGTGTTGTAGCTGATGATAAGTGATGATGAACATCTTTTCATGTGCCTGTTGGCTGTCTGTATGTCTTCTTTGGAGAAATATCTGTTCATATCTTATGTCCATTTTTAATTTTTTTTTTTTTTACCATAGTGGCTATTTTTAAATTATTTTTAAAATATTTTATTTTACTTATTTATTTATTGTCAAGTTAGCTAACATACAGTGTAGTCTTGGCTTCAGGAATAGATTCCAGTGATTCATCACTAACATACAGCACCCAGTGCTCATCCCAACAAGTGACCTTCTCAATGCACATCACCCATATCCCCCACCCCAATCAACCCTCATTTTCTACATTGTATTTAAGAGTCTCTCATGGTTTGCCTCCTTTTCTGTTTGTATCTTATTTTTCGTTCCCTTCTCCTATGGTCCTCTGTTAAGTTTCTCAGATTCCACCTATGAGTGAAATCATATGATATCTGTCTTTCTCTGACTTATTTCACTTAGCATAATACTCTCCAGTTCCATCCATGTTGTTGCAAATGGCAAGATTTCATTCTTTTTCATCACCAAGTAGTATTCCATTGTGTATTTATACCACACTTCTTTATCCATTCATCAGTTGATGGATATTTGGGCTCTTTCCATAATTTGGCTATTGTTGAAAGCACTGCTATAAACATTGGAGTGTATGTGCCCCTACGAATCAGCACTCCCATATCTTTTGGATAAATTACTAGTAGTGCTATTGCTGGGTCATAGGGTAGTTCTATTTTTAATATTTTGAGGAACTTCCATACTGTTTTCTAGAGTGGCTGCATCACTTTGCATTCCCACCAACAGTGCAAGAGGGTTCCCCTTTGTCCACATCCTTGCCAATGACTATTGTTGCCTGAGCTGTTAATTTTAGACATTCCAACAGTTGTGATGTGGTGTCATACTGTGGTTTTGATTTGTATTTCCCTGATAATGAGAGATGTTGAGAATCTTTCCATGTGTCTTTTTGCCATCTGGATATCTTGTTTGGAAAAGTGTTCATGTCTTCTGCCTATTTCTTCACTGGTATTTTTCAGTGTTGAGTTTGGTTACTTATTTATTGATTTTTGATACTACCTGTTTATTTGATATGCTATATGCAAATATCTTCTCACATTCTGTAAGTTGCCTTTTAGTTTTGCTGATTGTGTCCTTCACTATGCAGAAGCTTTTTCTCTAGATGAGGTCCCAATAGTTCCTTTTGCTTTTATTTCCCTTGCCTTTGGAGACATGTCAAGTAAGAAGTTGCTGTTGGCAAGTTCAAAAAGATTGTTTCCTGTTTTCTCCTGTAGGATTTTGGTTGTTTCTTGTCTCACATTTAGATCTTTCATCCATTTTGAATTTACTTTTGTGTATGGTGTAAGAAAGTGGTCCAGTTTCCTTTTTCTGCATATTGGGGTACTGTTTCCCAGCACCGTTTGCTGAAGAAACTGTCTTTTTTCCATTGGATATTCTTCCCTACTTAGTTGAAGATTAGTTGACCATATACTTGTGGGTCCATTTCTGGGTTCTCTATACCATTGGTCTATGTGTCTGTTTTTGTGCCAATACCACAGTGTCTTAATGATTGTAGCTTTGTAATACAGGCTGATGTCTGGGATTGTGATGCCTCCAGCCTTTTTTTTTTTTTTTTTCCCCCAGCATTGGCTATTTGGGGCCTTTTATGGTTCCATTCAAATTGTTTGACTGTTTGTTCTACCTCTGTGAAGAATGCCGGTGCTAATTTTGATTGGTATTGCGTTGAATGTGGAGATTGCTTTGGGTAGTATTGACATTTTAACAATATTCGTTCTTCTGATCCATGAGCATGGATTGTTTTTGCATTTCTCTGTGTCTTCAATTTCTTTCATAAGATTTATATAGTTTTCAGCATACAGATCTTTTACCTCTTTGGTTAGGTTTATTCCTAGGTATTTTATGGTTCTAGGTGCAATTGTAAGTGGGACATTTCTTGATGTCTTTTGGTTGCTTCATTATTGGTGTGTAGAAATGCAACTGATTTCTGTACGTTTTTTTTCTTTCACAGTTTTTTGTCAAGTTGGTTTCCATATAACGCCCAGTACTCATCCCAAAAAGTGCCCTACTCCATGCCCCTTCCTCCTCCCACACCCCCATCAGCACTCAGTTTCTTCTCAGCATTCAAGAGTCTCTCATGGTTTGCCTCCCTCCCTCTCCCCAACTATTTTTCCCCTTCTTCTCCCCCATGGTCCTCCATTAAGTTCCTCCTAATCCACCTATACGTGCAAACATATGGTATTTGTCCTCCTCTGCCTGACTTATTTCGCTCAGCATAACACCCTCAAGTTCCATCCACATTGCTACAAATGGCTAGTTTTCATTCTTTGTCATTGCCGTGTAGTATTCCATTGTATAGATAAACCAAATCTTCTTGATCCATTCGTCAGTTGATGGAACTTAGGCTCTTTCCATGTTTTGGCTCTTGTTGAGAGTGCTGCTATTAACATTGGGGTACATGTGCTCCTATGCATCAGCATTTCTGTATCCCTTGGGTAAATTCCTAGCCGTGCTATTGCTGGGTCATAGTGTCGTTCTAGTGTTAATTTTTTGAGGAGCCTTCATACTGTTTTCCAGAGGGGCTGCACCAGTTTACATTCCCACCCGCAGTGTAGGAGGGTGCCCGTTTCTCCATATCCTCGCCAGCATCTATAGTCTCCTGATTTGTTCATTTTAGCCACTCTGACTGGCGTGAGGTGGTATCTCAGTTTGGTTTTGATTTGTTTTTCCCTGATGACTGATGTTGAGCATCATTTCATGTGTCTGTTGGCCATCTGGATGTCCTCTTTGGAGAAGTGTCTGTTCATATCTTCTGCCCATTTCTTCACTGGATTATATGTTTTTTGGGTGTGGAGTTTGGTGAGTTCCTTATAGATTTTGGATACTAGCCCTTTATCTGGTAGGACGTTTGCAACTATCTTTTCTCATTCCGTCGGTTGCCTATTAGTTTTATGGATTGTTTCCTTTGCTGTGTGGAAGCCTTTTATCTTGATGAGGTCCCAATAGTTCATTTTTGCTCTTGATTCCCTTCCCTTTGGGGATGTGTCAAGTAAGAAATTGCTGAGGTTGAGGTCAAGGAGGTTGTTTCCTGCTTTCTCCTCTAGGGTTTTGAAGGTTTCCTGTCTTACATTCAGGTCCTTTATCCATTTTGAGTTTATTTTTGTGTATGGTGTGAGAAAATGATCTAGTTTCATCCTTCTGCTGAAGGAACTGCTGATCCAGTTCTCCCAGCACCATCTGTTAAAGAGGCTGTCTTTTTTCCATTGGATACTCTTTCCTGCTTTGTCAGAGATTAGTTGGTCATACATTTGTGGGTCCAATTCTGAGTTCTCAATTCTATTCCATTGGTCTATGTGTCTGTTTTTGTGCCAATACCATAGTGTCTTGATGATGACAGCTTTGTAGTGGAGGCTAAAGTCTGGGATTGTGATGCCTCCTGTTTTGGTGTTCTTCAATATTACTTGGGCTATTCGGGGTCTTTTGTGGTTCCATAGAAATTTTAGGATAGTTCTAGTTTTGAGAAGAATGCTGGTGCAATTTTAATTGGGATTGCATTGAAGGTGTAGATTGCTTTGGGTTGTCATGACATTTTAACAATATTTATTCTTCCAATCCATGAGCATGGAAGGTTTTTCCATTTCTTTGTGTCTTCTTCAATTTCCTTCATAAGTTTTCTATAGTTTTCATCATACAGATCTCTCATATTTTTGGGTAGGTTTATTTGTAGGTATTTTATGTTTTTTTGCGCAATTGTGAATGGGATCAGTTTCTTGATTTTTCTTTCTTTTGCTTCATTGTTGGTGTATAAAAATGCAACCAATTTCTGTACATTGATTTTGTACCCTGCAACTTTGCTGAATTCATGGGTCAGTTCTAGTAGGCTTCTGGTGGAGTATGTCGGATTTTCTATGTATAGTATCATGTCATCTGCGAAAAATGAAAGTTTGACTTCTTTGCAATTGTCTGATTGCTGATGCTAGGACTATGTTAAATAATGGTGGTGAGTGTGGACATCCCTGTCTTGTTCCTGACCTTAGGGGAAAGTTCTCAGTTTTTCCCCGTTGAGGATGATGTTAGCTGAGGGCTTCTCATAGATGGCTTTTATGATGTTTAAGTAAACTTTCTCGAGGGTCTTTACTAAGAAGGGATGCTGCGTTTTGTCAAATGCTTTTTCTGCATCTATCAACAGGATCATGTGGTTTTTATGTTTTCTTTTGTTAATGTGATGTATCACATTGATTGATTTGCGAATATTGAACCAGCCCTGTAACCTAGGAATGAATCCCACTTGATCATGGTGTATAATTCTTTTTATGTGCTATTGGATTCAATTTGCAAGTATCTTGTTGAAGATTTTTGCATCTGTATTCATCAAGGATATTGGCCTGTAGTTCTCTTTTTTTGCTGGGTCTCTGTCTGGCTTGGGAGTCAAAGTGATTCTGGTTTAGTAGAATAAGTCTGGAAGTTTTCCTTCCATTTCTATTTTTTGGAATAGCTTGAGAACAATGGGTATTAACTCTGATT